AGGGTCGCGATGGGGACAGGGGGCACCGGAGAAAGCAGGGATGAAGAGGGGAGTCGCCTCAGCCACGTTGAAGAGGAGAGGGCCAACACGGAGGAGTGCTGACCAGCGGGCCTGGGAGGTGGAGCCGGGGGGTCCTGGGAGGCAGTGGCGGGAGGGAAAGGCGGTCCTGGGAGGCACTGGCGGGAGGGAAAGGCGGTGCGGAAGACATTTTCGGAAGACAACACGTAACAGTAGTGTACACGCCACACAGTTCATTGTTGAGTCATGCGGGTTTTTTTCCTATTCGATGGCTTAAGCCCCGAATGTGCTAGATCGCTACGCCTCCCCTCCAAAACGGGCTTTAAAGGCTGCCTTCCAACCCTCCTTGGTCCCCTACCGTGCACCCTCAGGCATACGCCCTTCGCCTCGTCTCCACCTCCCCTTCCTCGCTCCCACCCACGCTCCCTCTCACCCCATCGACCCCTTCAACTCCTCTACAAAAATCCTTTTCATCGCCCCCGGCAAGGCCGCCGCATCCAAACACAGGTGCGCCCGCCCCACAGGCATGGCACGAACGGCCGCAGCCGCCTCGTCCCCCAGGCTCGCCACCAAAAAGACGTGCCCGCGCACACTCCGATCCCTGACCAGGGCCTCTCCCAGCCGGCGTGGATCGATCCCGTACCGTGCGAAATTCGCATCTGACACCACGAACAGGTAGGAGCCCCCGCCCCTTCCCTGTCCTTCTCCCTCTTCCTCTCCCCCGTCCCGGGCTTGTTGGTACGCGGAGAGCTCCGCCGCTGCCTCCTCCGTGGCGCGCAGGGTGTGGTCGCCCGCCTGGCAGTACTGGGCGTGGGCCGCAATCCGCTCCAAGACCGCGAGCTTCTCCTTCCGCGTCCGGGGTGGGCGCCCGAATTCAACCAATGGCAACCGGGGCGCGTCCCCCGAGTGGGCCCATATCGCGTATTCCACCTCGCCTCCCCCCTCCTCCCCGGCCTGGCCCTCGAAAGCCTCCATGAGCATGCACGCAACCTCCAGCATCCGGTCTAGCCGCCCGTCCTCCCCATTGAAGCGGTACATGCTTCCTGACGCGTCCATCACAAAGAGCATCCTCCTCCTTCCGCGTTTCTCCTTCTCTGCTTTCCTGCCCCCGCCCTCCTCGGCCTCCGCCGCCTCCACTCGTCTTCGGAAGACGAGTCGCTCCCCCGCCAGGCCGTCCACGAGCTTGGCGTCGTCTAGCTCCCCCTGCGCCTGGTTTCGCACCCACTCTCGTTCCTTTCCTCGGCTCCTTAGCCCCTCCAGAATTTCCCTGAGCTGCCGCACTGATCCCTCCACCCTCTCCCTGATCCCATCATAGGCCTTCCACTCCCCCTCCGCCATGCCAATCTCCCGTAAACGTGCCTTCAACGCTTCCCTCCCCATGCGCGCCGCTTCTTTTCGCGCGCTTTCGGTGACTTGCTG